TTCAACATCTTGTCCAGTAGGCATTAACAAGAGTGTTGGCCTTTGATCTCCTGTTATCGAATACCTTGTGGACAATAGTTCTTCGATTCTAGCTTCAGAAGAATAGCATCTTGTTAAGAGGTGCCTTTCCAATGCGCTATTCCTATTCATTTGAAGTCTCTTTGTAGTAGATGGAGTGAAAAAGATAATATAATTTTTCTCTATAATAATTTTTTTTTCCATATCGATACTCGAAGAATCATGGTTACAAAATAAATATAATTCGTATAGAGCAGATAACATGATTAGACCGTCCCTAAATCATATTAATAGTCTATGTATTCGTCTACAGACTAAGAGGTATTTTGGAAACATTCATGTCCCTTTTCAAGATGATTTAGATGCTGCTAATGACGATGATTTCAATCTACTGGACTTTCAACATTACAAAGAATCTAAAGATGTTATAAAGCATAAACAAAAGCTATACGAGGATTTGGAACAAGAAGCACCTGAAGTAAAGATCGACTTACAGAACTATACAAAATTAAGAGAACCAGTAATATTTGTATCGAAACTCAAGGATCCATATTTGAATCTTGCAATCGAAGATAGTATCTATAATGACATGCCGATCCCAGAAAACGAATCCAAAGAAAATTATAATAGATTAATGTTTTATAAAAACTGGCCCTGTGCTGTCATTGGCAAAAATCAGAATCCGTGGAAAGAAGTTAACTTGCCATTATTGAACTCACTACATATTCCTCTTGTGAGAAGACGATCTGGTGGTGGAACTGTTGTTCATGATCTTGGTAATGTAAACTATTCCTTCATGACCACCAAGCCTAAGTTTGATAGGTTTAAATTTGCCGAAATAATAAGAGACTCCGTGAATAAGCACCCGGATATTAAATACAAGTTGAAAGTTAGTGAAAGGGGAGATATAACTACAGTAACGCAACCTGATGGAATTGATTATAAGGTTAGCGGGTCAGCTTACAAGTTATCAAAAGGAAAATCTTACCATCATGGTACTATGTTGTTGGATCTGAAGTTGGATGTCTTGGGTAAATTATTAACGAGAGATGAACGTAAACTAGGCATTGTTGATTCTATGGCATCGATTAGCTCTGTTAAATCCAAGGTCATTAATTTAGAATTAAAAGATGAGAAGTTTATTGAGTTAGTAAGTGATGGGTTCAGTAAGAACTACGGAATCGCCGAAAAAGAAAATGACGTCCAGAACGAAAACCTCCCATCGGACCCTGAAGAGTATGATCAAAATGAATTATTCAATCTTACTGACTTCGTTGAAGCATATTCTGATTATGCAAGAGTTGTTACCATAGATGAAACGACTGTGTTGAATCAACAAATATATGACTTGGCAGATGAACTCAAAGAGTGGAAGTGGAAGTACGGATCAACACCTAAGTTCAGTCACGAATTATATAACGAAAAGTTTGGTTTTACAGTTAAGTTCCATGTAAAGAAGGGGGCCATTATAGATACGTTTGAGTTGTCATTTGATGAAATATCCAATCGTATGATTTCTACAGAAAAAATCAAGGAAAGCTTCGAGTTTCTTGAGCAGGTTATCGAGACCCAAGAATTGTCTTATAGTGGAAGTAATGTTAGTGGCTTTATTACAAATGATATGATCAGTGATTGGGTAGGCCAATCAATAGACGGTACTATATAGTGTAAATAGAATAATAGAAAATTAGATCACATCAAGCCGGGTTTTGTAAGCCGTGGTTGCCCTTGTATTCAACAAACTTTGGAGGCACCCAACTTTCTAAAACTTTCTCATCGTTAATTTTATACACCTCTATTCCTAGCGGTCTACAACAATCGACCATCTTCAGGCCCTCCAAATTTTCACCATCTTCACCCCATCCCCATTGCGACAAATCTCCACCAGGGCAAGCACTGATAGCAATAAGTAAATCCTGCTCGGCAAAGCACTCGAAATAATCACCAGCTTTTGCAGGGCATGCTTCCATGAAATACTGATCATACTCGTTCAAACCTGTGACCTGAAAGACATTTATGACATCATGGATATCAAACTCGGTCAATCCATGTGGTAAAACTGCCCGAAGCAAATTTGAATGGCAGTGGAAATTATTTTCCTGTCCACTGATCAATTGGTCGATGTATGGATCACATCTTGTTCCGTTCAAATCATGCAATCTTCCACCCCATTCATCCTGGCCTCTATCCAGCATCGAATCACCAGTAATGGTTACCAATGGGCGAAGAAATGGGAGGTTGGACCAAAGTCTATCGTAGGTAGACACATGCGCTGAATGCAATTGACGACTCCGGGCAGCCCAAAATCTCTCTCTAGGATTGTGCAAGTTCCAGATGTTCAAATCGCACACCTGGGGACCTTCTGGAGTGGTAATCCTAAACACAGATTTAGCAGGAATCTTCACAGCTATGCCTCTGCGGGGTTGACACAAATGTTTTTCCACGAGTGTCTTTTCGCAAGCACCAATTTCCTGGTATAGTTTCTTATCAGCATATATGGGGGATCCATCATGTGGATAATAAGCTGGCGTAGGCTTCGGGAGATCGTATTTCGTTTTGATATTTGTTTGCGATGAATTGTCGGACATAATATTCCTAATTTCTAATTAGGGGTTGAAGCCAATGAATGAGCCAATATTTGTGTATCGATATTACTGTCTACGCAGTTATGTTAATCTCTGTATCCTTTGCAGGTCTTTATTTAACGAGGACCTTAAAAACAGTGAATTTTTCATGTCGCTTATATTGCCAGAATTTAAGTTATATCTTGCACCATTCGTCCCACTAGATTACCAGGTATATTCCCAAATCAGTCTTACCCGCTTATCTCCAATCTGCCATGTTCGGCATTTCCAGTAGAGAATCGTTATCATTGCTAAAATGTCGTGCCAAATTATTTCATTTTGCGACACCCGCACCCCCTGCACCCTCGGATATGGTCGCAGTTGGAGCAAACGAACGACCTGCGACCTGCGACATATGAGAAACGACATACAATTAGCGACATCGTGTGGAGGTCAATGTTCGTCCTTTTTGTGACCCCACAGTCTGGTCCGTTACCGGTCGGGTATGAAACCCTTTATCCATTCGAATATCTGCACCTTCTACAGATGCTACAAAATAGTACAGATAACACACCATACCTCTATTAACGTTCAGTCGTACCTGCTTTCAACATAATCGCAACAGCTCTATCAACAGGCTAAGTAACTACTCTCCACAACTTACCTTGTTCCAAAATAGTCCCACTCGTGCCCTACATTCGTCTCAGCTTGCCGCGTATGATATCGGAGCCACTCCGGTGCAAGTGAAAATATGGGGAAATAGAATGCACAGCCAACCACCACGCAATACCCATGGAATTGCACCTTCAAAGCGTACGTGAGACGATTGTCATAGGCTAGTATTACTGATTTAGTATGCGAACCCGTTTAAGCGATGGATGTCATTGTGGAAATCAGACGGGAAAGGAGGGGAAAATCCGGGGTTATATATGGGCCAACTATATATAGGGCCCGATATGTACGCTGATAACAAGTTTTATAATTATTTAACTATTAGTATAGAAACACTAGGGCTTATACAAGAGACTTCTGGTGACTCTTTATTGGTAATTATATTCAATTTACATTGATATAGCATAGTAAAAATAGAACATGATTTCGGTTAAACAGGGTATTAGGTGCCTTTCAACGTCGCTGTTAAGGATGACAAACTATGGGTTCATTGGACTCGGAGAAATGGGACAGCATATGGGCAGACATATCTACAACAAGCTCGAGCCTGATGATAAGTTGTACGTTTATGACTTAAAGCCAGAAAACACGAAGAAGTTTGTGGATACGGTTACCGAGGTGACGCCAGCTAATAAGAAGTTGGTATTCCCATTGGAATCGATTTCGGATTTTGTGCACAAGGTGGACTCCCAATTGGAGTTTATAATGACAATGGTGCCAGAAGGGAAACATGTTAAGTCCGTAGTGGAAGAATTGGTGCAAAACTACCAAAAATGCGCTACTGACATTTCAGGGTTGAGTACGACGTTTTTGGATTCGTCGACAGTCGATATTCCTACGTCTGTCGAGGTGCACAAGTACGTAAAGCAGCAGATTCCACATTTTAACTTCATTGATACCCCTGTTTCCGGGGGTGTAGCGGGTGCACGTAAGGGAACTTTATCCTTCATGTTATCGAGAGAAACCCACGAGGATATTTCTCCTTCTTTGACCAGTTTGTTGAGCAAGATGGGCGCCAACATCTTCCCTTGTGGGAAAACTCATGGCACTGGTTTGGCTGCCAAATTATCGAACAACTATTTGTTAGCTGTCACGAACTTGGCCGTAGCCGATTCGTTTCAGTTGGCGAAGTCATTCGGGTTGGATATGAAGAATTATGCTAAGTTGGTTTCAGTTTCCACCGGTAAGTCCTGGGCTTCAGTTGACAATTGTCCTATTAAAGGTGCGTATCCAAAGGAAAACGATTTGCCAGCAGATCGTGATTTCCATGGAGGATTTATTACCAAATTGACCAGAAAAGATTTGGTCTTGGCCACCCAGAGTGCTAAAAGTAATAATAGATTCTTATTCTTGGGTGAAGTTGGTAAGAAATGGTACGACAAAGCTTGTGAACGGGAAGATTTAGCTACCAAAGATTTGGGTGTGTTATACGAATGGTTAGAGGAATTGTCTGAAAAAGATAAATAGATTCTATCTTAGTATTCTTTTTCACTCAAATCTTCTTTTAATATGTATTCAAGAGTATATATTTGAAATAATCAGTTATACTATCCGATATATGTAGGAATCGTGGATCTTATGTAGAGGTTGAGGAGTAATGTACTGATTTCAGTGATGCTTTCGAATCATTTACCCATTTTGTGATTATTCTAGTTTACACTTACAATTTTTGCAATCAAAACCAACAAAAAATAATCCTACAACTTAGACATAACTATAATCATTGAACGTGTATTATTTGAGGCACTATTCTATAATGAATCCATAATTTAATCCCGGGGCGGGCGAACCAGAAAGAGGCTTGAATAAACTATTCGTATTAGAAGGGGGACCATTAGAATTAACTGGCAGAGCAACAACGGTATCATCCTCATGGAATGTCGATTCGCTTGTAGAACTCAGTCTTGCTACGACATCGGAATCGTTATTGTTTACAACACCAAACGACTTTTGCCTTTGTTTATTTATTTCTGTCTCTGACATATTATCACTGTTCTGGTAGTGTTTTTTGATCCTTGGATTTCTTAAATGGGACAAGTTATCATTCACTCTGTATAGATCGTCATTGAAACCACCCTCTACCAAATCGGTAATTTTGGTGATTTCGTGTACATTACTTGTTCTTCTATCATTCAATGAATTGATCGAAGAATTCATACTTTTAAAATTTGATTGAGGAGTCAATAATGATGAGCTAGATTGGTTCAACAAGGGTAATGTATGTTCAACGGGTATATCGAGCGATGACGTTAACGACAGAATAGACGATTGACGAGATTTGTCTCTGTTTTCCGATTCCTGTGCTTCAGGAGCATAACTATCGTCGCTAAGCTTTCTGTTCGAATCAGTTTTCTTATTTCCTTTGGTGAAATTATGCACATTTGAAGATTCGTACATCTCATCTTGATCATGAGTACTCTTAGTTTCATTAGATTGAGAAGAACTTATAATAGAATTCGTTAAGCCCGTGTCACTAGAATTTGCACTAGAATTTGACTGCCTGGTTGCGTCTGTTGCTCGTCTATTCGGACTCACGGCATTTCTTATAGGATTCGTTGTTGGAGGCTTAACAGATGAAACATTATCAGAAATGTCTTCACTTTCATACTTTCTGGAGAGCTCACTTTCAGATTTTCGAAGTTGCTGGCTTAATAAATTCTTTACAGGGCCCTCATGTGGAACAGTCATGGTCAAACCAGGAAATCGCAGACTTGACTTACTTCTTCCTCTATCACTACTTTCATCAATTCTTAAAGGTGACATAGACAACGAATGTTCTTCCTCCTCGTATGCTGGTGGTGGGAGATTATCCACACCAATAAGCATATCATTATTATTTGCTTGAAATGGAGGAGGGTTTATAGAAGGCTTTCTAACGAAATGAATTGGCCTTTGTATGGGCGAGTTAAATGTTCCCAGATGCGGTAAAGCTTGTAGAGATGCCAATTCTGGTCTAGTATCATCTGGCGGCAGGTACAAGTTAGCTTCTAAATGCATATCTGCATCTGAATCATCTAATGCACCGTTACCGTTAGTAATATGCTCAAAATTCACATGTGGGCTTTCTATTACTTCATCTAATGAAACACTATTTTCAGTTCCTTTTCTCAGTATATTTCTACCGGCTCCAGTAGTATTATCAATAGGTATAACTTCTGGAGATAATGGTGGGGTACCATGGTGTTGTACATTATAGGATGAGCTTAAGGCGAGATGTTCGTCGTATGCTGGTAATAAAGTATTCACGTGTGCAGCTAATGACGACAAAATATGAATTGGTGAATCAATCAGAATTTCATAATGCTTCCTCTTCGAAGGATCATCGGGATCTGTTTTAGAAAGCCTTAAACAAATTTTTATCCAATGATGAGCTTGGATATTTTCATATGATGTGTCAGGATGTATTTCATGCTTGATCCTACCATTTAACACTCTTGGAACAAATAGTTGAAATTCCAATTCTTTCGGTAATATTTCTGCATCATCTTCTTCATCTTCATCTTGTCCCAGTTTCTCGGATAATAGCGATTTCCCTTTCTTTGCTTTATGTTCTAGTAAAAGATATTTCTTGGGAGGTTCAAGCCTGTGAACCTTTTTGTTCTGACAATAATATTCCAAATTCTCAGACAAGTATACCCTTATTCTATGTAAAGCAACCTTTCCCCATAGTGGCACAAATCTAAATGCTAATGGCAAGTATGAATCTAATACAATCGATTTTCTCCCGATAACAATATCGTATCTCAATTGGTCATCCCAATCCCTCGTTATTATTATTGGTTCATTTTCTTCCATATTGGATTCTGAAGGTGTTCTAATTATATTAATCGGTAATTTTCCAGTTAAGTTCAGCTTAAAGGTTCCAGCTCTTACAACTGATGCTTCAATATAATAAAATACTTCCCCAAATGTCACCGAACACGTTTCCGGGATCGATGGGTGCAACGGATGTTCAAAGTTATAGATATAATCACCCGGAGTAAACAACTCTGGCTTCAAAGGATCCGTCTCAGTAGACAACACTGACGTGAGATCCGAAAATGATTCGTTGACCGTTAACGAAGGTGATGCGGCTCTCCTCATAAAACTGGTAGCTGGTGACAAATTTCTGGTGAAAAAGTTACCACGTCCGTTCTCTGCAGCTGGAGAGTGTGATCTTGATGCAGATGGTGGTACATTGAGAGTCGAGTTCTCCATTTCTGAAGTGTGGTCCTTCAGTAACTCTTGAAAGAAGTCGGCACCTCCATTAGCACTGTGAAGAGGATTTCCCAGTTGGTAGAACGGCCACGTATGAGATAATATGTCATTTAACTCCACATATGAAGTCTTCTTCGGTGGTATACCTTCTGGCCAATCCGTCCGTTGTTGACCCTTAAATGTTAAAGTCACCGATCTAATTTTGGACGGTTTAAGAACCCGCAAGAACAAACAACCTCTTAATAATGTAGGCGGCCTACCCTCGTATTCTTCTGGCTCAAATCCTTGCATAAACAAGTCCTTTTCTGCCGGTATCACATACATCTGTATAGATGAAGTTTCTGTTAACGGCTTATCAGGCAACTGAGGTATCAAGGTTGAACTACTAACTCCAGACGATGCCCCGGCTAATCCACCCAAACTTACTGCGCTGGGTGATAACGTCAACTTCTGAGCAGGAAATAATGGAGAGTTGGGTGTCTGCATTTTACCTATCGTCTATATTATAATTAATGTTGTCAGAAAGAAGATTATAATACAAATTCTGGAGTATGCCATTTGATAAACTCCCCCCCGATGCGAAAAATATTTGTACGAAGAAATTACTCAATGTAGCCAAAACTGGAGATTTACAAGAACTTGGGTACATTTGACATGTTAAGGACAAGCAAGATGTGCTACGGGGTACTGGCAAAAGCTGGTTATCGTACTGCTGCATCTAAACCAATAGAATTCTTGCCATCTCACTTGGTGGTTCAGAAACCTTATGATTTCCACGCAATCCATACAAATTATGGATGGTTTATAATTCCGAAACCATTTTATGCATATAGGTGGACCACGCTGAACATCCACAAAGCTATAGAAGACAGATATCCCGATATTAAAGATGTTCCAAGGTCCCATGAAATGTTACAAAGAGTTGTGGATGACTGGGGTGAAACGGTAGACTTAAGTACGAAGCCAATAATGACAAAGACTACAAGAGCAGATATTAAAAAACAAAAAGAGGATGCGTTATATAGAACACAGTTGAAAGAGGATATGCCATCTTTGGTTACGCCTTCGAAACAGACGACAGTGTCGAAAAAGCGATCGAGATTGGGAACTGTGACGTTTATTCACGCTTGGAACTACTATTTTTCCATAACACACCCAAAATACAGTCATCTCGATAAAAAGGAGTCACGAAGAGAAATTGCTAATGAATGGAACGCTATGACTACTGAAGAAAAGGACGATTATCGTGAGGCATACGCGAATTTGCTCAATGACGGCAAGGACATTCACAAGGGAAAGATTGTAACCCGAGAAGAAAAGCTTAAGAAGCAGTTTAAAAAGAAAAAGAAGAGTGACGAGAAGTAAGTCAAGGTAATTAATCACACCTAGTAAAACCAAGTCACAACCATGTATATAAATTGTAAATAAATCATAATTAGTCTATACATCCTTCATCCCACTATAGCGGGGGCATCTTCGTCATTCTCGTCATAATCATTTAAGTCATAAACTTCCATTTGATTTTCATCAATGCGGTTCTTGTCGAGCTTCTCAAAATCGATATTGAATTTGGATTTGTTAATTTCTAGTATACGATGCCACTTCTCTTTGATGAATCCTGAAAGCTTCATCTTACCACAACAACCGTTAAGATTCCAGGTATCCTTTGGGAAAATATCTCTGGCAAAATTTTCTAATACTGAGACGTATGTCTGCAAGTCAAGCAGATTGTTGAGAGCAAGATCATCGATTAAGTATTCCTTTGGTAATTTGTCTAAATGGTGTTGGAATATGGTCAAAACATCCAATGCTACTTTTTGACTTGATTTTATAAATTTCCTACTCATCAGAATCAATTTTATTATGTTAAGCCATTGCAACCCTGAACAAAAATTTCCGAGTATGACAAAATTTATGAATGATAGCTGCAACTCCCCAAACATCAACTCAATATCATTAACATATAACTGATTTAAATACCATGACTTGTCTAAATAATTTTCGGTTACCTCTTCCACAGATTCCGTATTTTCTTTCTTAATCTTAAATTGTATTATTGTATATTTCAATTCTTTATCAGTTTGATCCTCCAACGAAGATGATGCTTGAGGATTAACTTTCTCGAGCGCATCTAGTAGAACCATATTCTCTTCTTTAGAAGGCATCATTGATGTAATATCTCCCGAATACATGTCATTATCACAAGGCACAAACTCTTGGATCACCTCGAAATCGATGTAGCTGATTAAAGTATTCGACCATTTCAGAGCATTTTCTGGATAGCTCACCATATACGAGTAAATATCCCCAATGCTATTCAAGCATTTACTATAATTCAATTGTTCTTCGTCCTTACGCGGATTAATAACATTGAGTCGTTCTGAAGCATCATCCCATCGTAATATTAACACATCATTATCTTTACAGTCAAACCAAAAACCAAAACGAGAGCTAGAAGATATTATTGTTTCCGAAGGTAATTCATTGTCCTTTATATTTCCATTATCGGGGGGGATTGAATAGTGAAATAAATGGATCCCTGCCGGTATAAGCTTTATACCCCGAAATATATTATTGATATTGAAAAATTGGGTATCTATTCCCATCAACCATAGGTTGAGATTTGCCTTGTTAGGTAGGTTCTCAAATACAAGAGTAGTTTGTGGAGGTTTAGACGAAGACATGCCTACTTTATAACATTATCAACTTTCAATTCATGCTAAATGGCTAGCATGTTATTATGGTGAAATATCGCACTACAAAAATCTGCTGAGTTAAGATGCTAAAAATGCAATATAAACGTAAATTGACTTCTATCAGGTACTATGTAATCAATTCTACACTCATACGGTCCAAACGAGTACTTAATAAGTGGTCATCTTCCAACATGTTCTCAATGTCATAATCTTGCATACTTTCTGAATCTGCGTCTTCACCTTGTAGTTTACGGAAATGCAGATTTATCAATCGGGATACTATGAAACGATCGATAAAGCCACTCATGAGTTGATCCACATGAGGATTATGATTCATGATAATTAAATAGTTCAAGCTTAATTTTTCGAACATTTCTAAAACTAAAATTAAAGGTGTCTGGTCATTGGTAATGATAACGGAATTTTCAGTGGTAATTTCTAACCGTATAATGTTCTTCGTTTCAAAAGAACGCTCATAATGTAATTGTTGGGAAAGTATATGATTTGGTAAGCCTTGAATCTGAAAGCTGATAACGGAATCTTCCAATACATTATCTATTGTCGATAACTTTGAAGCAATATTCGTCTTATAGGCATACCCTAAACTGATTGGGTTTGATTCGTTCACGATTAATGGATAGCCTTCGTGATTATCATCGTTCATAAATTGATATAGTGCTTTAACTGTGTACGGTTCTTCAGGGATAAGGCAAACGTATTTAGTCCTTTCTATGGGAACCATTACCCTAGCAATCGTGACATCAGGTAATCTGTTTTTTACAGTAGCAGTCAAATTTGTGAAATCACATAAACCATTTCCTTTTCCTTCGTTCTGTTCGCCTTTGTTGCTGTCATATCTATTAAAATGATTCTTCAACCAGGCATCATAAATGTTGTCGTTGCAGAGCCAATCATTTACAAATTTCAGAATCATGACAGAACACATAATGGGCAAAACATACGTAATTGCACCAGTTAATTCAAACATTATCACAACAACACACATCGTCAACTTCGTTATTCCTGCCATGAACGATGCTGCCCCAATAACAGCATATGACGATGGTGAAACGAGACATGAATTTTGCGTACAAGTTGCCAAAGAGTCCCAGTTAATTTGGTTTTGCAAGGCTTGCGAAATAATTCCTAGCAACCTTCCTGTTGTAGCGCCCAAAACCAAAGACGGCATCAAAACGCCACCAGGTAAATTGACTCCGTATGTATACGATGTAAGGAAGAACCCTTGAACAATAATGTAGACCAATTTCAAACTAGTAATGCCATTTGACGGCAGACACATGAAGTTAGAAGAGTTCGAATCTAAGTCTGTATTAGAATCGTCCGGACAATCAGTAAACAATATTTTCAAAAATGCATGCAATGGTAATTTTGTCATTTCAAACGGGAAATTGAGTATAGTTGTTAGCACAACAATAGTAAAAATTTCCAAATACTTGCCCCAAGAGTCGGATACCTTAAAAACCTGGCACAACTTTTTTTGTACTCTACCTCTGAAGTGTTTTGAGGAAAACTTCGCATTGAAGTTAATGAATATATACCCATAAAAGGCACCAAGAACCCCCAAGATGACAAAGGGAATAAGCTCTACGAAGAGCCAACTGAAATTTCCAAAGTTCACTCGAAACAAATCCTTCTCATAAAAGTTTTCTCCCTCGGTAAATAACTTGAACCCAGTAAGGACCACCACAGCAGTGGTGGCACTCAAGAACGAATTCCACATAACCTTGGTAGGCATGAAAAAACTAGGCATGCTCTCCAATACAAAAAGAACACCACCAATTGGTGCATTAAAAGCAACTGATATCCCGGTAGCTGTTGCAGCACTCAAGAGCTCTCTCCTGACGGCCTCATTCTGATTGTTCTTATTCACAATAGCTCCATAGAGTATATTAAGGATACAGCACGAAACATGCACCAACGGACCTTCTTTTCCCAACCAGAGTCCCGAGCTGACAACGAGAATCAACCCGAATATCTTGTAGATGAACGTGTGCATTCCTAAGTATACCGGCAAGTCATAGTTGAATCCAGAGATAATGATCTTAATTTCGGGGATCCCTGATTGCTTGATAAAAATATCTCGGTTTATTGTGATATACGCCGCCACCGCTATCCAACATCCGGCAAATACCAAGTATATGGGAAAATTGATCAACATATTCGAAATAAACCCTTGACTCCCCACCAAGATCTGCGACCAGTCGTACCAATCTTCCGCTGGACACGTCAGATACGGGTTCGAAAGCGACCATTTATCCATCTCCCCATAACAAAGTCCTTTTTTTACATCATTTAGCCACACGGACGCCAAATCAATGAATGTTGTCACGTATCCCAAAATAATCGACAGCACGATAATAGTGGCCCATTTCCGATAAACGACTTCTGAAGATTTAGGTTCTAACATCGATTCTTTATTCCAGTCGATATAAGTATTGTTTTCGTATTCTTTTCGATTTAATTCACTTCGTATATCTGTGGCTATGGGTGTATCATTATCATACGATAATATCGGTATCTCATCATCATCGTAAGACACTTTGACTGAATTCGGTACTGAAAACGACATTTTACTTCCTAGATCTCCTACCTTCAAACTCCTAATCACTTGAAATCTCTATACCAAGCCAACAAATAACCAAAAGTGAAGTTTTGGTCCGTAATGCTTATACCTAAATGTAGTTATAACTGGTTCCAAGTGTTATCATATAATAAAGATATTTACAGGTTAATGAAATTTTACAGGTTGTTGATTTGGTAAAAATTTGGTGATGTTTTCAAATTTTATAGACAAAGAACCAGTTGATTTATGATCAATTAGAAGTAGCAACGATGTCATTTTTAAGCAGCAATACTGCCGCATCCACCACAAATACCAGTGCATCCAATGGACAAGAATTGATCAATGATATCACCATTAATAATCCGCCAGAAGACTCGATATCAGACATAGCGTTCTCACCGCAACAGGATTTGCTAGTGGCGGCTAGTTGGGACAAAAAGGTCCGAATCTACGAAATTGACCCCAATACGGGTAATAACCAGGGCCGGGCCATGTTTGAGCACGAGGCGCCTGTTTTTAGTGCCAGATGGTCTATTGACGGTACCAAGGTGATTAGTGGAGGAGCTGATAAACAGGTAAAGTTGTTCGATATAGCCTCGCAACAGGCACAACAGATAGGAGCACATGATGCGCCTGTGAAGGCCGTTCGCTTTGTTGAATGTGGCCCTACGAACACACAGGTGGTCGTTTCTGGGTCGTGGGACAAGACGTTGAAGTACTGGGATATGAGAGCACCCCAGCCGGTATCCACCGTTAACTTGCCAGAGAGGGTCTACTGCATGGACTCGTCCCAGAAGTTGTTGGTTGTGGGGTGTGCTGAGAGACAAATCAGCATCATTGACTTGAACAACCCGCAACAGATTTTCAAAAACTCGATGTCCCCCTTGAAATGGCAAACCAGATCCATAAGCTGCTATCCGCAAGGCAATGGTTTTGCTGTCGGGTCCATCGAAGGAAGATGTGCGATCCAGTATATTGATGAGAGCGAACAGAGCAAGTTTGGCTTCTCTTTTAGATGTCATCGTAAGGCTCCCACCGGGGCCAACACAACGTCGGCGTTACGTACATCTGCCAACTCAGAATCTCACATCTACTCCGTCAACTCTATTGCATTCCATCCTGTCTATGGGACATTCAGCACAGCTGGTTCCGATGGAACTTTCTGTTTCTGGGACAAAGACGCCAAACAAAGATTGAAGACTTTCCCTGCTGTCAATTGCACCATACCGGCCACCTGTTTCAATAAAAACGGAACCATATTCGCTTACGCCATGAGTTACGACTGGTCTCAAGGCCATACCGGTAACAAACCAGATTACCCTAACCAGATCAAGTTACATGCTACCAAAGACGAAGAGATCAAACAAAAAAAGAAACGTTAGTTTGATATTCTTTTATCGCTATTGTATAGTTATTATATTCTTATTGTATTTTAATAGTATAGACGTTAATTCGACGGTTTCCCCTTACTCATCTTCCCCATCCTGTCTGTGTAGAGTCTCTATAGACCTATTAGCCGGCATTTTTGGCCTCGTTATCGTCATTTTTGATAGACGGTGAGCATCTGAAAAATTTCCGGGGACATAAATCGAACGAACCCAATAAAATTTATTTCTTCGATTTCTGTTTTCTTCACATACGTCTACCATCCACATCCACACAGATAAATAATAACTATGGTCGACTCCGTCTGCTATCCCAAACGATGCGTTACCGTGGAGCCTTTTGGTAATCAGATCGACGTTATAGAAAAAGCATTAGTCGAACTCGAAAACCAACCTCCCAGACAGTACACCTACGCCAACCAGAACACAAGACGCCATAATGCTGTCCCCCTTAAATCCACCATGTCTGCAAGCCAAGCTCAGTTTGTCCCCTCGAATCCCAGTGTATTTGGAGGTGTTCCTTCAGAGCTGTCTCGCGGTGCTTATTCGGAAGGGTACCAGACCGTACCATCTGTCCCCCAAATGTCCGCAAATACACCGCCAACGCAGCAGCCATCGCCTAATGTGTCCACCATCCCACTGATCTATACCCCTTTCGACCCCTTCCAGCCAACAGACTTCAAGACTGACACACAGCTCGCATCGGGATCGGGCTCGCTTTCTGGGTATCTCTCGGGATCTCTCAGCTCCACCGCAACCTCAAGCAGCATCTGGGGCAATAACGACACACACCGCAGCTTAAATGATGCCACTGTCTGGGGCTAATACGGGTTTCTTCTTCTCGATGGTGTCTGGGTTTTATCCACGAGAGTTGTTTGATACATAAGGGCCATTTAATTTAATGTACTATTTTGCTTGTTTACTGGTTAGTTTTTTTTGGATACTAAAACTGTTATTACTGTTTGTTCTACTAATACGTATATATATATACCGTGTTCTACTTCTATGTTGTTTGTTTATAGGGATTATAGGTTAAAAAATGAATAATATTTTTATTGAGACTCATTTGTCACTTATTTCCGTATTGGGTAGTCGACATCAGTCGATAGACGAACGCCCAATTTTTCATAAAAAAGGGTCTATTGAGTATAATGATTAAACAATATACAGACATTAGGAGATATATTTGATTGATTAGTGAATAAAATATCGGTAGTCATTGTCATAAGTATAACTACTAATCAGCAAATTTAAGAGTATAAATCTGAGCTACTTTTGGCTAGAAAAGTAGCAGAATTTTAACTCATAATCAATTCCGATTGGAGAGCATTGTAATCTTGACAGAAATAATACGGATAGATAAGAAGTATACTTGGCGATAATAAAAAGGATATTGGGAAAAAAGTAATAGATATCGATATATCCTACCATGAGTCATCATAGTACTCCACATTTACATAATAAGAAGACGCCTGGGGGTGTTGGTGCCGATAATGGACCTAGCGCATCAACATCCGCAAATAAAGGGCCGATGGACTCGAATACAAGTATCAGTGATTCACAGGCTGCGAATGCGAAGCAGCTCTTGAATGCTTACGTGTATGACTTTCTTATTAAGAGCAGACTTCCTCAGACGGCGAGAATTTTTGTCAACGAGGCAGAGGTTCCGTCTATTCAAAATAGCTCGGCGAGCTCGAATAACAATTCACCGCATCAGGTGAGTACGGGTAATACAAAGGGCCCTTCTAGTGTGTCTACACCCCATACACCCAGTGGTGTTTCCCAACAGTTTCCGAAGGAAAATAACTTGCCTTGTTTGGCGTTGGCAATGGAAGCACCGCAGGGGTTTTTGTTCGAATGGTGGCTGGTATTCTGGGACGTCTTACAAGCGAAGAATAATAAAGGCGGATCGCAGTTGGCGGCGCAATACTACCAGTCGCAGATGTTAAAGCAAAGACAGCAGCAGGACCTTCAAGGGTTGAATGTTCAGCCTAATATGTTCGGACCCGCAACCGGACAAATTCAACAGCAAATGCAACAGCAGCAAAAGTCATCGATAGACCAACAACAAATTCCGCAACAATTCAACCCCCAACAGCAACAGTTGGATCCACAACAACAGCAACAACGTTACATGATGCAAATGATGATGAAACAACAACAAATGTCCATGGGTGGTAATCCTGTGGATCCTCAGCAGCAGCAGATGTTTGGTAATATGCCACCAAATAACAATCTTACTTTGCAACAGAGAATGTTCATCACCCAGCAACAGCAGCAGCAATCACAGAATAGGATGCAACAACACGCACAGAACCAAATGAATAATTTGCGTCAACAAGCTGTCGCAGCTCAACATCAACATCCACAACAACAACCCGCCCCTGGACAACAGAATTCACAAGACGCCTCGAGTCATAGTTCGCCGTCTAACGTTCCAAGAATGAATCCCCAAATAGCTCAAGCCCAGAATGGCGTTCAACCATTTCAACAGGCTCAACAACCTATGGTAAATGGCAATGGACAAGCGCAAGCTACGTTTGGTCAGCCCCAGACTCAAATGGGAATCAGAATGAATAGTAATGGCAAGCCTTCTGTTCCTGCAAACCATGGCGACAATATGTCGATTGCAAATCCAAACTCTAACGATAATGGGGCTCCGGCCAATCGTAATATGAATGCCCTTCAAGATTATCAGATGCAATTAATGTTACTTGAGAAGCAAAACAAGAAACGACTTGATATAGCAAGGAATAATGGTACTGCGGATCCCAATGGATTAATGGCCTTAAACTCAGGTATAATGCCACCCCAAGCACAATTGCAACAACATGCGAATTCTCAAAATCAAAATGCTTCACCTGCTGCGATCGTAAATTCTCCCGTTGTTAATAGTAGGCCTTCACCAACGGCTAATAATGCTGCTACAGTCGCCAAAAGAAAGAAAGATCCACCGGCTAAAAGAGGTAGGAAGCCAAGCGCAACTTCGGTTCCTACGAATGCAAAAGCTGGTAATGCAAATAGTAATGCTGCAAGTGCTACAAATAATCCTCCCAATAATAGCAATAATGCCCCAGTATTCAAAAAGGAGTATTCTGCACCACTTACTCCTGCTTCAGAATCAGCCAATGATGCGGTTTCTAAGAGAAAGCGTAGAAATACATCTACTACCGAATCACCAAACAAACAGAGTGTAACTAAAAATACTGCTAGCAAGGAAAAACCTATTCCAGAAGAGCCTTCCAAGGACAAGAAGAACGATGATATTCTTCCTGCAACTAGCTCGTCGTTTCAAGATCAACCCAATGATCAAATATTTCCAGTGGAAATACTTGGAGGGAATAACAATAATGATAACCACCTTTTTGGTGCTCCAATGAACAACGGTGGATTAGATGACATTGATTTTGATTTCAACCAATTTTTGGATGGAAGTGGTGATAATTCATTAAACGATGGAATGAACGGATTTAACTGGGGAAGTGTGGATGCGATTGAAAATGGTGATTAACAAATTTCAACTAAATGTTAAATATATTAAGTTCATGTTGTATTTTCTTACTATGGCGATGAAGATATTTTTTCAATAGCTTTTTATGTCTTATTTGAGATGTGTATTATATTCCAATGTATTATTTATAGTTTATTATATTATATTAGTATACTAATTATACTAATAATTAATTTAATGGCATTCGTTAAACTTAACCTATGCAAATTGTCAATACTCTATTTCTATAATGTATTATATATTAAATAACTGTAAACTATTTATCCTTCTTAGATTCACCCGGCTCATCGATATTAGCAGCCTCGTTATCTGCTGGTCTAGGGAACCATTCATTCGTATTGTACCACACACCAAATAATACAGTAGCTAGAATGCTCACCAACAAGCCTGAACTCATGGGTGTCGATGGAAATACGTTCCAGCACCATTCATGTACTACCCAAAGAGGGATGCAAACAAGTAAGCTCCACCCAGTCATATATAACATGAAAGGTAATTGCCAACAGTACCACGAAAGAAATTGATAGTGCAAAGACCTTGCAAACAAAATGCCTATTATGTTGGTAGATCCTAATATTAACATAACGAGCTTTGGTCCACATTTTGGATCTATTAACGAATTGTTCTTATTAATTGTGCTACTGAAAGGTCCTACCATATCCCTTATGAGACGAGATACTGGTTTGCCTGTGATTCTAGGCGAGATAAATCTTGTAAATATGAAGAAGATTAAGACTGAAGCATTAGCAATTAATAACCCATTACTGAAAACATCTGATAAGAAAAATTCTTCTGAAATAAATCTCCAATTGACAGTCCATTCATATAAAAACTTCCTATTAAAGTTAAAGGCTTGGTTGATGTAGTTCCATCTAATGTATGAAGCTTCTTCATCATTAAAAAATGGTAACAAGAACTTCCAACCCATAAGGACCTGAACAATTGGAATAACCAATAATACTGTTCCAAACTTCAATAAGTTCTCACCGCATAAGAAATATGCAACTATGATAAATCCAGGAAAATACAACAATGCATTCATCTTTATAGAAATTGCAATACTGTATAAATCAGCTGCAACCATGGTCAATAAAAAACTTATCGAAGATCCGCCCTTCTTATACCAATATGCTGCCTGTTGTAACAAAATTGTAACACTAATCATACAAACAGTAGTAAAACAGTCATTAAATAAGCGAAGCACGTATATGGAAAACAATCTCTTGCTCAAAAGCAAACAATACACTGGCCATGGTTGAAAATTAGGAGTCATTGTATAAACAATTATAACCAAGAAATTAGTCAAAGCAAATAAGTACCCAAATACTGTCTGGCCTGCGTGAATATCGGTACCTTCATCCGTTAACCAGTTGAGCATTTGGTATATCTGAACAAATCCAGCTGGGTAGACAATTTGTCCCGTATCTCCTTTCACTAACGAATAATCAAGTTCCCCATCGTTAATTACTTGAATTTGTTGGATGTAAGTCTTGAAATCAATTTCTGTATAAGGAACCTTATATATTATGGCTTTGGATAATAATGATGTCAATACAATAACAACAGGACACACGATCCTGGTACAGAATGGATCAGTGAATAAAGCCAAAATTCCATTGTAAATATCATTTAGCACATTCCTCAACGTAAAAGGAGGTAACTCTGGCCGTTTGCCGTCTTGTATACTTTGTTCTGACATTAGACCATAAATTCTGAAAAATTCAAGAATAAATACATCTCATAATTAAAGAGTTGAGGATCCGAGAAAAATAATCTCAAATATTAATTTACGTGTATCTGATGCTATGTATGCTATATATTTATATAACTGGATTCTTAGTTGTCTTCTTCTTGAAAATTCTTAAAACATCTCTTTTACGTCTCTTGCATTCACGAGAGAAATCACCTCTCATCTTCCAAAACCATTGTTCGTAGGGTGATTCACCTTCAGCATTACTGGTAAGGGTTTCGGCTTCACCAGGCAATTTGACCAAATCTTTTGAGCCACTAACTTTGTTCAATTGTGATTGAGACTGTAAGAAAGGGGAGTCAGAGTGGGACCAGAACAAGCCATATTTCTTTACCTTCGAAGTTAGGATTTCTTCGGCCTCTTGCTGCTGCTTTGATTTGATCTTATCTAATAATTCCTTTTGTTGGGATAAGTCCACTTCTTTTTCATCGTCGATATCTTCGTCCTCTTCCGAAAGAGCCAATTTGAACTGAGATTCTTGTGGCTCTGAGGTTACCTGATTCGGATTAAATAAGGTTCTCAATGTATCAGTATTATTAATTTGTGATTCTGCTTTGTTACCAAAGGTAGGAATAAATTCTTCTTCTTCTTCTTCTTCTTCTTCTTC